GGGGACTTAGTAGCAGCTTACCACTATATCAGGGGAGTACATCAGAAACAGGGTGGCCAGCTGTTCACCAGGGCACCCCTGGGGAAGACCACGAGCAATGGATACAAACTCCTGGAAGGCCACTTCAGGCTCAATTCCATGAAAAACTCCTCCATAGTCAGGGTGGAATAAACTGTGGAATAAACTCCCTCCAGTGGTGGTACAGTCACCTACCCTGGAAGTCTTCAAAAGGAGACTGGACAGTCGCCTCACAGGGGTCACTTGGCTCCAGTTGTCTTTTTCTGTATAAAGCAGAGGGACTGAACCCAATGATCTACAAGGTCCCTTCCAGCCCCTAACAATCTATGAATCTCCATTCCAAACATCAAGAATTCCTAGTGTTGATATCAAATAGTTTGGGAAAGGCTAGTGCAAGAAAAGTAGTTGTATGATGTGTACGTCAGATACTGTCTGAATGCAGTAACCCTGGCCCCATTTTTGTCCAGTACACACAGATAATATACCCAAGTATTCCACAACCCTTCCATCATCACCTAGTCTCTTGAAACCACTATAAAAATCTGAAAGAAAATAGGGTTTGAAAGAGCATGAGCAATTTTTAATCTGGATTTGTTTTTCAGTGATTTAATGCTAGTTGACTGGAAGAAAAGCAAGTTAAAAAAACACTGGAGAGGATATCAGCATTTGTGAATGAGGTGACCCTGACAATATGTAAAGTTGAATTTCACAATTTGCAGGTCATGTTAGATTAGAAGTTGCTACTTGATATTCATGTAGCCAACTTGACTTAGTGCTAAGCCTTAAGGCAATTCAGAAGTCTGTTTCTGAGGCCTGCTTATTCAATTCTTTACTCTGCCTAGAATGGTCTACTTAAAGCCTTCAGGGATTGAAACCCAACAGAGAATGCTCTGGTCATATACATATGGCACAAAAATCAACAGATGACTTCTGACTCCAGCAAAACTGGAATCAACATCTGTCATCACATCACTAGACTTCTATTAAAATACACACCATAACACAACTAACTGAACCTGAAGGGTCTGGGCCAAGCTAATCCTGCCTGACTAACCTGGTCTCTTTTTATGACCAGATAACAAAAAGCTTAGATGTGAAGGAAGAAGTCGATGTCATCTTCTTGGACTTCCAGAAGGCCTTCGACACAGTGTCCCACCCAATTCTGGTGGGCAAGCTGAGGGACTGTGGCATTGATGAATGCACAGTCACATGGGTGGCAAACTGGCTCCAGGGCCGCACCCAGAGGGTGGTGGACAGGTTGATGTTGACCTGGAAGGGTGTGGGCAGCGGAGTTCCCCAGGACTCGGGCCGGTGCTGTTCAACATCTTCATTAGCGACTTGGATGAGGGTGTGGAGAGCACCCTGTTCAAGTTCACTGATGACACCAAACTGTGGGGTAAAGTGAATACACCGGTAGGCAGGGACCACATCCAGGCAGACCTGGATAGGTTGGAGAAGTGGGAGGACCTGAACAGGACACAGTTCAACAAAGACAATGCAGAGTGCTGCACCTGGAGAGAGGGAACCAGCATTATGGTTATAGGTTAAGGGCTGACCCTCTCAGCAGCACAGAGGCAGAGAGGGATCTTGGAGTCATGACTGACTCCAAGATGAATATGAGTCTCCAATGCGACAAAGCAATAGGCAGAGCCAACCGCACCCTGTCATGCAACAGGCGCATCACTAACAGGTCCAGAGAGGTCTTGCTCCCCCTCTATGCGGCGCTGGTCAGGCCACAGCTGGAGTACTGTGTCCAGTTCTGGGCGCCGCACTTCAAGAGGGACGTGGAGAACCTGGAGAGGGTCCATAGGAGGACACTCGTATGGTTGAGGGCCTCTGTGGCCAGCCCTACGAGAAAAGGCTGAGGGACTTGAATCTCTTCAGTCTCTGTAAGAGGAGACTGAGGGGGGATCTTGTGGCTGCCTATAGCCTTATCAGGGGCCAGCAGCAGGGACTCAGGGAAAGTCTGTTCACCAGGGTCTCCCTTGGAGTCACCAGGAATGATGGCCACAAGCTGAGGGAGGATAGGTTTAGGCTAGATATTAGGAAAAACTACTTCACGGTAAGGGTGGCCAGAGCCTGGAATAGGCTTCCCAGAGAGGTGGTGCTCTCACCTTCCCTGGAAATCTTCAAGAGGAGACTGGATAGGCACCTGGGCTGGGGTCTTATGACCCCTCCCACCCCCAGTGCTCCTTTCTGCCCATGGCAGGGGGTCGGACTCAATGATCTGTCTAGGTCCCTTCTGACTCATTGATTCTATGAAGTCAAACACAGCTTATGTCTATTCAACTTAAGCAGGTCTCCATACTGAGACAGAAGACAGTGCCAATTAACTGTGACATTCATTAATTGCTTATGGGAAAAGCATTTTTAAGTCCTGGACAATGTAGGACCTGCTCAGGTGAAGTGTTCCTACAGTGCCGGGCTTCTTCCCGCAGTGCTATTGGGGCTCCAGTGCTGTGGTTCCTGCCAGCTTGACTGCCAAGCACCTGGGCCACAGCAGTGACACTGGAATGCCAATAGACCACAGGCAGAAGCCAGTACCACAGCTTGTTCCAGCAGCTAAAGCTGAACATCCATAATGCTGGACTTCCTGTTGGGTCCAAGACCACCTGGAGTGGGTGCCAGCTGTATCCAGTATGTTTGGGAGGAGGGGGGAGGTATATCCTTAAGCCTGATCTGACTTGCAGGACCAGCCCTAAAGCTGGCCTGAAGGGTCAGAAAAACTGACACTTCTGGGATAAGCTATTTAGTAAGTGATTGTCTGTGTAAGCCCTTGATCCTAGAATTCACTTTTGTCACAACAACATACACTTAAAGCAGACATTAGGGCTGTGTAAAATTTTGCCAGCTATTTTCGTTTGACACTGTTTCGACTCATTTTGAGCTCAAAACAGTGAAATTGAATCGAAATGAAGGGCTTTGAAACAGCCTTGAAACAAAACAAAGCTAGTCAAAATGTTTCAAAATTTTCGAAAAATTTCAAAACAGCAGCGAGGTGGTGAGACGGGGGAGCACCAGGGCTGTGCTGCTGGCAACAGCCAGAAGCGCAGTCCTGGCTCTCCCTGTCTCCTGTTGCAGGAAGCCGATAACAGTGCAGGGGAAGGGAACTGAGCCCAGGTTCAGTTCCCCTCCCCAGCACTGCGATCAGGCTGGAGAAAGGAACGGAGACCAGTCGCTCAGTTCCCCTCCCGAACGCTAGATCAGGCAGACAGTCAGCCCTGGGCCGACTCCTTGCCACCCTCCTGATCTAGCGAAATGTTGAAACAGCCTCACTGCTGTTTCAACGAAGCAAAACGGAACAGCTGTTTCGAATCGAAATGAAATTCGAAATGGAACGCTGTTCCGTCAAAACCTTGGAACTCAAGGTGAAACAGAATGGTGCCGTTTCACACAGCCCTATAAAACATAATTGCTCATTCATCATAGTCCAATCTTCACAACTAATTATAGTAAAAGCCACGTTACCCTGCACTTCACAGGCTTGCATGCTCTATTAACAGGCACGCCAGCTTGTAAGGTAAAAATCAAACCAGAGTGCCCACCGTGGCACTTCGGTTTCGCCAAGCCCCCACAGCCCAGGGCAAAGCAGCCTGTGCTGCCGAGACCCCACAATAACAGTTCTTTTCCCCTTTCTCTTTTGCCCCCCTCCCTGTCCCTCGCAGCGGGAGGGGTGGTGATGTGGCAGGAGGGGCGGCAGCACACCAGATGCAGCAGGAGAGGCAGCCTCTCAAGTAACTGGCATATTTTGTTATCTGGCACCCCCAATTCGCCATGGGTGCTGGATAAAAAAGCTTTTGCTATAGTGGGTAATTGGTAAAAGCTCTATTGGCAATAGATACTATTCTAGTTATAGACCATTTTAAAATACAAAAGCTGAAATACAAATGAAAAGTGGTCTCTAATGAAAATGACACTTTAAGCACTTTAAGAGAATATTAAGTGAAAGAATATTCTCTAAATTTTCAGTTGTACATGTGTTGTACACTGATTCAAGTTAATCTTTATAACAGAATGGCATAACTACTGTGGACTAAGCTGTTCTAGACTAGCTTCCAGTGTCAGTGTTCTGGGATTAAAAGAAAAAATGTCACTTAATTTTATTAATTCCATAGCGAACTGTTTACACATGGAAGTTATTTTGAAACAGGTAAATTGTACCAAAATAACTCTTATGATCAATTTACTCATGGAGACATGGCCTCAGTCTCCATGAGAGTCTTCCCTGCAGTCTTGTCTGAAAGTTCGTTTTTAAATAAATATAAAGTTATTGGAGAGCAACCTCACCTTCACTTTTAAATGCATTCATTAGACCTCAATTTAGCAGTTTTTCCTTTAAATGACAGCACATTAGACTCTGTTACAAAGCTCAAATTCCCAAACACTTTCAAATTAAAATGAATTTGATTCATGTTTTAATGCATTTCCACACATATGGGCAAAAACGAAAAAATATTTTACTACGTTTTGATTCAACAATGACCCTTTAGTTTTCCCTGAAATTAAACACGACTCAATGCAGTATAAACAAAGTTAGAAACTACGTGAAATTATGACTATCAAGCATCATGATTGTTACTAAGTTGCATATACTTGCCAAGGTGACCTACTGGTTTATAACTTTAAAACATGAATGATCCTACAACTCATTACTTGAATGCATCATTCAGGTGAATAGGATGCGTTCCAATTACAATATCCATGGATACACTTCCTAGAATTACCTTGCTCTTGTATACATTAGAAAAAAAAATGCTTCCACGGAAAGCCTTTAAGAAATACTATTTTAATCACTACAGTTAAACAATCAATAAAAAAAGACTTTATTTTCCTAAAAAAAGAAAATTACTAGTCTCTCTTTGTATTTACAAGTAGCACTGTATCCTATTCAAAATGACTTCTTAAAACTTTACAGGATGAATAAGATAGAATTAAAAAAACCCACAAACCAAAAACACCACTCTAATATTAAGATTTTGTACCTGAAAGTTATTCATCAGACCATATGGACACTCTGTCTTCTGACAAGATGAGAAGTCATAGTTTAACTTGCAAGCAGCAGTAGTGCAATTTGTCCATTCGGTGAAGATGGTATGGTTAACGTTGCCTGTGGCATCCCGAACAACACAAGAACCTAGTGGGAACAGAGACAAAAATATAATGACACTTAAACACCATGCCAATCTCTAACCTTTTTCTTAAAGTATATATTATAACCAAAGAGCATTCAAACAAAATCATTCCTTCAATTTTTCTGAAGACCTGGCGAAACAGAAATACGCTCATTTTCTTGGATGAAATATTTTATACCACATGTTTAAAAAAAGTGCTTTATACAACAAATAAGCAATCTGCTTTTGTTGGCTGCCTCTCAAATAAGCAAAGAAACTGTAGAAAAACCACTTCTTATTTGTTTCATAATAAAAATACAGTTACGTTTGGAATGCATCAGTAATAGTAAGAACACATCTAAAGGCCTCTCCTACTCCCTTGTTGAATGTGTAAGTTAAAGGGCAATTTTATTATTATTTTTACATGCAACTAATATTACCCACCACTTTTGGTTCTGTTCTCATTATTGATGTGCTAATATTTTTATTTATTTTTAATTGCATTCTAAATCTGAAAAATATAAAAAGTTTTGCAGAAACATTTATAGAAGTCAGCATAATTTTGCAAGTATTTCCTTTTCAGAATCTTTTGAAAAGCTTTATTAGGGGGTTCCATTGCTGTAATGGATCTGCAACTGGTCTTCTTTGCACTAGTAAACCAAAGAAACCGACCTGATGGCAGTACAGGAGGTAGGGGTTAGATGCAGCTGGAAGTCTAATCTATTGTTCAACCACAGAGTGGAGTGCTAATGGACATTTGAATACAGGCAGTGCTTGACTTACAACTGAGGTACGACAAATGGCACTTACGACCTTTATAAATTGATACCCTAATTCAAGGTTTCAACACGGGTTTCCACTTTTACCAGCTGGATGCAGTTGTACCCAGCATCGTAGTCTGGAAGGGGAGGGGAGGGGAAAGGGAAGGGGCATGGGGGGGTCACAGATTAATGCCCCCGCAGTGAAGGAGGGATTGGGGCTGGGGCAAGCACTGCCCAGCTGGGGGGGCAGGGGCACACAGGACAAAGGCACAGCTTGTCCGAGGGGCGTGGGGAAGAGAGGGTGCTTCCTGTCACTGCATACTACTGGTCTGGGAGCTGTTCGTCTGGCAGCTCCTGCCACTGCTCCCGCCTCTTGTCCCGGAGGACACAGGGAGGCATATGTCCCCAAATCTACGCGGGGAGGACTGAGGCAGGGCTGGGGGCAGGGCTGTACCACACTGCACTCTGGGTGGGCGCAGCAGTACTGGAAGTGGGGCTATGCCCTGCTGCCACCTCTCAAGCTGGGGCAAGGCAGGCACGGGACTGAGCTGCTGCGCAGCCTCCAGATGAGTGGCATGCAGTGGCGGGAGCTGCCCCTCCCTCCCTGAGCCCCCCCGGACAAGCTATAGCTCTGTCCTGCAACCTGGCCCCCCAGCTGGGGGTGCAGTTGGAAGATTTGGGTGGCGGGGGAAGTGTGCTCCTAGATCACAGC